TCACATAGTCCCTCATCAATTGGCTCAGCACCTGACCCTAAGCCGGACCCTGATCCGGATCCTGATCCTGAACCTCCCCCTCCATGTCATGTAATCATCACCATTCTGAAACAAAACACATAGCAGTTAGAACCCAAACATAGTCTCGGGGGTCTCACACACTCTACAAGTTCCCTAGTTTCGTCTCAGTCCTCCTTGACTCGAGTATGGATCCTATGCTTTTAGTAGTACGGGCCCATACTATCATCCACGTCTATCCCTACTTTCCTTAAGGATTGCTTCGGCTCTACCAAATCCCTTACACTACTACTATTGCTCCTAGCACTACTCTCATCCTAGGCTTGCCTTAGGGTGTATCACCGACCCTCCCCATACTCAGCTTCTGAAAGACTTCCCACGAGTATCATCTAACTATCTCATGAATATAGTCACATGCAGTAGAGATCAAATAATCCTTCGAGTAAAGGACTCATCCCTAAGACGGTTAGACTCAAACGAGAGTTGCGCAATATGGTCAAATCTGGCACTCTAAGATTATCCAGCCTATACCACATGTGACTTAGCATATTCACTTAATTGTTAGGTCATACTTCTAAGAGCCCCATAAAGCACAAAGCAAGCAGCATTCGGATAATGGAAGGTTAGACACATAATCCAATCAAGCTGGTTTATTCTCTACTAAGGAATCCGTACTAGCATGCAATTCAATTAGTTCAAACACATATAGCAGGCACATAAGGCATCCTCCTAGGTCCTTAGTCCTAATCTAGCATACAGTTCTAATAATCATATCATAGCATAACATAAACTTGTATGGGTATTTGGGGTACTGACTTGAGCTCCGCCGTTCGCGCACATCACACACCTTGTTCTTTTCTCTTTTCAAACTTCTTTTTTATAAAATAATCTTACCTTTGAAAGCTTTCATACCAAGTCCTTAGTTTGAGTTCAGACACACCCGAGAGTGTGCCCGAATCCCTCAAACCAAGGCTCTGATACCAACTTGTAACATCCCAAATTTCGAGTCCAAAAATTTCGTTTTTCAATTAAGTTGGTTATAAAATAGTTTACTGAAAACATTTTCAATATCAAAATACGTCCATAAGCCATCATACATGTCTCATATCACAAGTAGCCATAAAATCATAGTACAATCCCATAGATCTAAAATGCAGAATTTTGTGTGAGTGTGATATGCAATTACCGCGCCAGCTCCTTCCCCTTCGCTGAAGAGGTACTTGAAACAAAACTGAAAACTGTAAGCACGAAGCTTAGTGAGTTCCCCTACCATACCATACATACGATAACACATACTGTCAGGCATACCGGGGTGCCCGACCTACCCCATGCCAGGCATACCAGGGTACCCGACCTACCCCGCTGAGCATACTGGGGTGCTCAACCTACCCCTGTCAGACATACGACCTACCCCTCGGTCCTAACAACCGAACTCGGGGACTATTTCCCTCTTACCGCTACTAACGCATAAAGCATACCAAACTAGCACATAAACATTTCAGGTAGCAGCACACCTAGATGGATATCACAAAGACAATCATCTAACATACAACTCCAACCGGTAGGCCAGCATTGTGGCCTTAGACCCACCGCTATTATAAGGTAACTCACCTCGTACAAGTGACAGCTGATAAACTGGGTGAGAAATCTTTGTTTGCTGCTGCTCCGGCGACTCTCCGGCTATAATTTCCATAAACACACTTAATCAGAAGCTCATAACTAATCTTAGGGTAAAATAACCATTTTACCCCTTTGACCCAACTGGACATACCGAAGTCCCAAATCTAACTTATTAATCCTTACTCTCTTGTGGCTCCTTTAAGGATTCCCTAAGGGCCCACTAACTGACCATTTACCGAATAGGGCTTTATTCCCTAAATGGGCCCAAATATCCAAGTCCTTGTCCAAAGAAGGCCCAATACTCGAGTCCTAAGTCCTCAAGTCCGAAATCATGCTTCACAGTGGGCCATGAGGCCTAAAAGTCCAGGCCCATTCCCTTTGGGCCCAAAAGTCCATTAGTTCATGAACTGCAGGTGTACGCGCGGCGCAACGGGCATGTACGCCCAGCGTACGCTGCCTTGACCAGAGATCGGGGATTTGACCCATTACGTGGTGCGTAATGGGGAGTACACTCAGCGTACTGGCCAGTTCCCTAAAAGCTTAATTTATGACTTAATCCAGTAAGCCTTTTCGTCCAAACTGTAGATCCGGGTCTTTTAAGACATCTTAAACCATAAAGTCACGAACTTTATGTGCATGCATGCAAGGTTGGGGTCAAAACATGACTTTGGTCCATTTAACTAGCCCCAAAACTCACTAACCCTTGCATGGTTGTTACTTAACCATCAAGATCCAATTTTTATGACTCCTAGTGCCTCTAGGAGTCCAAAAGGACATGTATTATGGTCTAAAGTTGTCAAGATGCAAGAACTTTCACAATGGAGTCCAAAAGTAACTTTAAACACTCCCAACAACAAATCTAAGAAGATAATGGCCAAGTTTGGAACTTGATACCTCAACTAAGTCAGAAATGGTGTTACTCTTCTGGATTCACAAGCTCTTGGTGGATCCTTGCTCCTTCTTCAAGTTCCTTTTTCTTCCAATGCCCCCAAAACTACACTAAATGCTCTCCAATGACTAAGAGCACACGAAAGTAGGCTAGGGTTTTCGAGATGACTGCTTAAGGGAGTTAGGGAGGCTGGTCCAAGGTCATAACATCCTTTATATATGGATAAGTCCCCAAAATTAGGGTTTAAGACATTGTGTGTGTACGCTGCGCGTACCCCTTGGCATGCTGGGCATAAGTGGTTAAGCTTGCGTCTTGGATCCCTGATTATGTTGGTCTTACATGGGGGTTACGCCCCACGTTCGTCCGTCATCAGCCTTATCATGAAGGCCCATGTCCGAACTCATAAAATTATTTTCCTTAAATAAATACAAACTTAATACCTTAAAGATCTCGAGCGCTACATACACCCCTTAATTAATTATAGAAACACATACTCTTACATGTCCTTTTATGTGATTTTATATATTTCAGCTAGTTTTACCAAACGTTAATTTTTATCAGCTAGCTTTTTATTTAACAGCTAGCTTTTCAGCTAGTACGCCAAATCTACAAACGTAAATAACTTGGGTAAGAATCCTACTTCTTAAAATCATCAGAATAGTCAAACAATGGTTATAGATAATTTACCTTTCAATTCCCAAATTCACTCCGTCTATATGTTCGGTTGGTGGAAAAACACCTTGACCACAAAATTCAGTGATTAGCCTTCTCAACCATCACTATAAATTTTATAGTTTAATTCATCAAAAAATAACTAAACATGATGAATTTTAATCAATAGTGCAGCAAATTGGCCATAAGCACTTCAAAAACGGCACATTGAGAAATTGTATTCCTTTTCCTCAATCGTGTTTTCCTCATAAAGCTATCAAACAATAGAAAGGTTTCGATGTTATGCCATTAGCATCTCCAACTCGCAGAGCAATTGTGGTTTTGATAGTTACTGAGTTCGAACAGAAGGAAGAAAAATGTTGAAGCTACCAACGTTGTCGAAATCAGATAGGAGCAGACTTAAATATTAATTGAGGCTTGCAGCCTTCCCACGCTAGTTGACCAATCTTATTTCCAGCCCACATGATATAGGTGCACACGACTTGACCTACATTATGACAAACCTCATTTTGCTTAAGTTATACTTCACTTGTCTATTTAATCATCTTTTAACCACTTCTTTAAGATTATAAAAAATCATATTTATGTATTTACCACATGCATCCATTCAGATTTTACTCGTTTCATGGGATACTTATAGCTTTTTATACCATTTTTTATTTCTATTAAATCAACATATATTGCTATAATATGAATTTCAGCAAAATACCTGGCTAGTTGTCAAAATAGACCAATGTATCATCGCTTGAATTCTACCCATGGCCTTAACGCATTTGATATGGATATGTGTTTTTTGTAGTATTACACAATACACATCACCACCCTTCTCTAATCGTTGTCACGTTGACTTCATGTGATAAAGACCATTTATTGCACTTACCCGAAGCTTAGTCGTGTTTGACATAAAAATCAGGGAAAAACATCACAACACAATTGAGCTCTTCTTTCGGTTGACTAATAGATAAAAGATTGCATTTGAACGAGTATATGTAAAGAACTCCCTATAGTTTTAATTAATCCTTTGCCAATATAGACATTCTAACATCCTCTATTGGTATATTCTCGCCATTAGTAATAGTAAAAGTATCATGATGATGTTTCAACATCCTTGCAACATGTCACGATTGTCAGCTTTATCTCTGGTTGTCTTTGCATATTTGACACTATTTCTGATTTTTTTTTTCTCCATGGCTGCCATGATCCATCCTTTGATCATGGCTTCACACCTCCTCCATAGCATCACATTTGGTGTTCCCGTTTATACACAATCGTTTATCCATTTGTAACTCTTCAATATCAAAAGATTAATATAGTGTTCTTTCGAAGTGATTTTTTTGCAATTTGGGTTTTTCCGCTTATGTTCATCACATTATTGTTTATCTACATTTTGATTATAACAGTAAAACCTCGATTTTAATGTATTCTCAAAACTCTCAAAAGCTTCTCATTTTCTTCATGGAACTTGTTCTAGGTTTCTCTTAACACATACCCATTTTCTTAAACGTTTCAACAATTTTAAACCTCAAAGCCGCACTTATTCTAGTAAACCGATATCTTAACCGGAAGATTAACATGTCAAGTGAGATCATTTCATGACAAATCTATCATCCTAGACACAAATCAAGTAAACCCAAATCATGTGATAAAGAAAGAGCAAAACAGTTAACTTGAAGAGTAGAATAAATATACAGATTTTCAACTTTCAACTTTTAGATACATGCCAACAATGGGAAACTCTCAAAAAAGGCAGCTATTGACCTATATTGGACCTAGCTAATTACACCATGTTCACAACTCCATCTCATACATTTGCTTTCTTGTTATCCATCCTAATTCTACTCAAAAAGAAATTGAACAGAAAGATCTATAAAGATAGAGATGTTAACACTTAAAACAGTCTCACACCCCTCCCACCTCTCTACCCTAATAATACACAAATGGAAAATTTCCCATTTTGTTTTTGTTTTTTTTTTTTTTAATTTCAACGGCCCTCGCCCGTTACCTTTAACGAACCATCCTTCATCAACTTCAAACTAAGACTGTTGAATCGTTCTCGGGAATATTGTCTTGATGCTTTTCTCCAATCTGTGCCAGCTGTCATCATTGCGACAAACTCCTCGTAACTTATGCACCCATCCTAACAAATAAATCCAATCACAATTAATTAATTAATGAAGACACTAAGCAACTAATCAGATAAGTTATACATGGATGTTTATTTTTCGGGTTAATCACAAAAATGGCAAAATGGGAGGGTGTTATTGAGAAAATGACCACATTTTCAACAATATTCATCACAAAATAACCACTCATTTGTCGAATAAAACTATACAAAATTACTTTTTCTTGCGAAAGTATAACTATTTTTTTCAAAATAATGTCATTTCGCAACAAAAAAAAAATCGCTAGAAAATAATTTTTTTTTAAAGTTATACGTAGTAGGGACCATTAACAAAACAATTTCACAAATTGCAAAATCAATTTTGGGGAAAAAAAAAAAGTAGCTTATCGTGTGATTAATGTGGTGAAAGGTGGTCGTTTTATTAATAGCACCCTTCCATTTTGGTCATTTTTACGATTAATCTTTTTATATTTTAGGGAAAAGCTTAGAAAAAATATGACACGTTATCTCTTGATGTTTTTTCTAAAAAAAACATTATTTTCGCTATTAGAACCATTATGTTATGGTTAAGAAGCATTAATTTGGATAAATGCATAACATAAAATAGTTCTAATGAAAGAAAATACAACAATGTTTTAGGAAACATTGAGTTTTTCTAGTGTTAGGCATTATTTTCTCAAATATTTTTTAAATATCATTTATACGGACAACATCGTACCTTATCAGTGTCAACATCATGCATAATTGCGTTTATTACATCATTGTTAACGTCTCCTTCATCACTTAACGCGTGACGCAGCTCGTCAACCTCTATATAACCATCATTGTTTTTATCAAAGAAGTTGAAGGCTTTATGTAAATGCTCATCATTTGCCATTTTCTTTAAATGAACATTAGCAGCTATAAATTCCCCAAAGTTGAGAGTCCCATCTCTATCAACATCAGCCTACAAAATCATATATCATGTTATCAAAAGAAAACTAGATATTTTTAGTTGATCTTAAAATGGGAATGTTATACACCATTTTTTTTCTACATCTCTTACAAAATGACCATTTTTTTCAGGATAATAATATTTTGTTTTGAAATATGATTTTGACATTGATTGTACTTACAGACTCCATCAATGTTTGAAGATCTGCATCTGTAATTTGATGACCAAGTTTCTGTAAACCGGTTTTTAGTTCTTCAATATTTATCTTGCCTTTGTTTCCTGTATCCATCATACGAAATTCCTCCTTTATTCCGGCCACCTCCTCCACTGATAAATGCTCCGCCACCACCTATATATGCAGTCAATTAAAAATCAGGGTTTTCTAAATTAGGGTTTCAGATTCAAAGCTCAATAAATAAACAATACCCTCAAAGCTCTTTTCTTGAGTTTGTTCATCACTGAGAACTGTTTAAGCCTGGATTTAACAGCATCACCCAATGGAACATTCGGAGCTTTCTTTGTATTCAATAACCATGGGTGATCTGAAATTGAAATACAAAAGTAGATTAGGCACCACGTAATATAAGAAAACGTATTTTCCAACAAATTAGTACTACCTATATTAACGTAACATTACCAAGAACTTGTTGAGCTGTAAGTCGGCGTTTTTGATCGGGGTCAAGCATTTTCTTCACAAGATCCTTTGCGTTATCGGAAACTTTGGGCCATGGATCTCGTTTGAAATTGATTACTGAGCGAATAATTGCTTGTGCTACTCCTTGTTCAGTTTCTATAAGAAAGATGAAGTATAAGTGGAGTTTGAATAATAAAGTCGATTTTTCATGGTGACGATTGAAATAGTAAAATGTACAAGATATACCTGCCCAAAAAGGTGGAACGCCGCAAAGTAAAATGTACAAGATGACTCCGGAGCTCCAGACGTCAACTTCTGGGCCATAATTGCGTTTTAGAACTTCTGGAGCCATGTAATAAGGACTTCCCACTATCTCGTTGAAGACTTCCCCTGGATAATAGACAATCCATTGTTGAACTGTTTTTAGGGAAAATGACTTAAAAGCCCAACGAAGAAGTTTTCAAACCATTCAAAAAACCCCAATCATGTTTTTTCTGTTCAAAAAAACCCAACGAACTAAACCTTTTGTCTAAAAAGTTCAACAAAGTTTCAAACCGTTCAGAAAATTCCAATTTTGTTTTGTTTAAGTTCGTTGGGTTTTTTTTTAACAGTCAAAACATGATTGGATTTTTTTAAACGTTTTGGAAACTTTGTTAGTCTAACAGTCATTTTTCCGATACAGTAATAAGCCACGTCATCTGTTTCTCTTATTTGACTTTCGAGAAAGTGTAACTTACTTGGGTTTTTTATATAAAATGTTATGTTTGCTGGGTTTTTTTGAACAGACAAAACATGATTGGGGTTTTTTAAACGATTTGGAAACTTCGTTGGGCTTTTAAGTCATTTTCCCTTGTTTTTATGAACAAAAAAAAAATATATGTCTTATATGTGTGGAGCTAAGTCTATTAGTCTAACAACTTGTATAAGTGTTATGGCTGAACATAGAGAGGTGAATATCAACAAGTTTGATAACAACGATTTTGGATTTTGGTATATGTAGATTGAGGATTAGTAATACAAGAAAAGGCTCCATGAACGGATGCCAGGTGATAAATGTAAGAAAAGTGGGATCATTTGGATCAATGAGCCCTTAATGTAGTATAGTTTATGTTGGCAAAGAACGTTGCATACAGTATTGTCAAAGAGTTCTCCAACATGTATGATAAACTATTTTCATCGAATATGGTTTTCTTAATTCAACAGTTAGTAAAGACGAAAATAAAGGAATATATGCACGTTTCAGATCACGTGAACGAATTTTATTAGTGCTATGAGGCAAGAAGATTGTGATATGTTGCATCTACGGCCTTTTGGTGTAGTCAAGTTTACATTGGCGTAGAAAATGTTGCATACGATTTCATCAAGTAAAACACCATGTTTAGGCGATGTCCAACATGCATGAAAACTGTTTCTATTGAATAAGGTTTTATTGATTGGATGGTTAATCAATACGAAGGTCCACAAATGTATGCATGTTAAAGTCATGTGCACGAATTAATTTGTTCCCATCTTGGTTAGTCGCAATTGCAATTAAATTCGATGATTAGGTACAAGCAACGAGGCAATAGTACTTGAAGTTTGACAACTTTGGTAGTCTAATCTCTAATGTACGTCGGTATGTACGAAGTCATATATCCCTCATGTAGTAAGAGTTGTTACTATGTTTATGTCAATTCTGGGGAAAAATCATTGGAAAGTAGCACAAGTTATGTGTTGACAATTGAGGGAAAAATATATGGATATTACAAAAGCAAGCAAAGAGTTTATATGGTTTAAGATATTTTTATCACAACTGGTATGAAACACGTTTAGATAGATATCATTTCATTAGAGACGAAAGTATAGTAGTGGTACGGAGTCATTAAGAAATATCTTTGGTATAAAGAATCCAAGAGAAATATTAACTAAGGTGGTAAACATAAAAGTTTGAGCTTTACACATAGATAGACCTGGCAATCCATGTTTGTGTGTCGTCTATACGTGTCTTGGGTATAAGTACGAACACAACGCGAATTGTAAAACATGTCTTGGGTATAAGTACGAACATGACATGTATTAATATGTGTAACATGTGACACGACATGAATTTGGTAAACACGAACATGACAAGAATTGTAAAACGTTTCTTGGGTAAAACGTGTTGTTAAGAAATATCAGGTTATGTGTTCACGGGAAAGTAGTCAATTAATTGTTATGTTATTTGAAATGCACCTCTAAGTACCCTTAGTTCGAGATGAAAAGATGTCATCTTGAAGGTTTTGGGGATACAGATCTAGGTGGTTGTTAGATTTAGGTAAAAGTATTGCAGGTTATGTGTTCATAATTGAGGGGAAAATATATGGATATTACAAAAGCAACCAAAGAGTTTATATGGTTGAAGAAATTTTTGTCATAATTGGTATGGAACACATTTAGATAAGATATCATTTCATTAGAGAAATTGTAGTAGTGGTACGGAGTCATTAAGAAACATCTTTGATATAAAGAATCCAACAGATATATTAACTAAGGTAGTAAACAGAAAAGTTAAAGCTTTACACACAGATAGACCTGGCAATCCATGTTTGTGTGTCGTCTATACGTGTCAGACATGAATTTGGCAAATACGAACACAATACGAATTGTAAAACATGTCTTGGGTATAAGTACGAACACGGCATGTATTAATATGTGTGACATGTGACACCACATGAATTTGGTAAACACGAACACTACAGGAATTATAAAACGTTTCTTGGGTGAAACGTGTCATTAAGAAATATCAGGTTATATGTTCATGGGAAAGTAGTCAAGTGGTTGTTATGTTATTTAAAAATGCACCTCTAAGTACCATTAGTTCGAGATGAAAAGATGTCATCTTGAAGGTTTTAGGGATGCAGATCTATGTGGTTGTTAGATTTAGGTAAAAGTATTGTAGGTTATGTGTTCATAATTGAGGGGAAAATATATGGATATTACAAAAGCAAGCAAAGAATTTATATTGTTGAAGAAATTTTTGTCACAATTGGTGTGGAACACATTTAGATAAGATATCATTTCATTAGAGAAACTATAGTAGTGGTACAGAGTCATTAAGAAATATCTTTGGTATAAAGAATCCAACAGATATATTAACTAAGCTGGTGAACAAAAAAGTTGGAGCTTTACACACAGACCTTGCAATCCATGTATGTATGTCGTCTATACTTATCAGACACGAATTTGGCAAACACGAACACGAAACGAATTATAAAACGTGTTTTGGGTATAAGTACGAACACAACATGTGTTAATCTGTGTGACATGTGACACGATATGAATTCGGTAAATACGAACACGACACGAATTGTAAAATGTGTCTTGGGTAAAATGTGCCATTAAGAAATATCAAGTTATGTGTTCATGGGAAAGTAATCAAATGGTTGTTACGCTATTTGAAATGAACCTCTAAGTACCCTTAGTTCGAGAAGAAAAAATATCATCTTGAAGGTTTTGTGGATGCAGATCTAGGTGGTTGTTCGGATTTAGGTAAAAGTATTGCAGGTTACGTGTTCATAATTGGGGGGAAATATATGGATATTACAAAAGCAAGCAAAGAGTTTATATGGTTGAAGAAATTTCTATCATAATTGGTATGGAACACGTTTAGATCAGATATCATTTCATTAGAAAAATTATAGTAGTGGTATGGAGTCATGAAGAAATATCTTCGGTATAAAGAATCCAATGGATATATTAACTAAGGTGGTGAACAGAAAAGTTGGAGCTTTACACATAGACCTCGCAATCCATGTATGTGTGTCGCCTATACATCATACACGAATTTGGCAAACACGAACACGAAACGAATTGTAAAACATATCTTGGATATAAGTACAAACATGACATATATTAATTTGTGTGACATGTGACACGAAATGAATTTGGTAAACACAAACACGACACGAATCGTAAAACATGTCTTGGGTAAAACGTGTCATCAAGAAATATAAGCGTATGTATTCATGGGAAAGTAGTCAAGTGGTTGTTATGCTATTTGAAATGCACCTCTAAGTACCCTTAGTTCAAGATGAAAAAATGTCATCTTGAAGGTTTTTCGAATGCAGATCTAGATGGTTGTTTGGATTTAGGTAAAAGTATTGCAGGTTATGTGTTTATAATAAAGGGGGAAATGGTTGGTTGGATGTGTAGACTTCATGAGAGTTGTTATTTTAACAATAGAAATAGAATATATATATATATATATATATATATATATATATATATATATATATATATATATATATATATATATATATATATATATATATATATATATATATATATATATACAAAAGCAAGTAACGATCTTATATCGTTGAAGAAATTTCTATCACACTTGGGTATGAAACACGTTTAGAGAAGATATCATTTCATTTACAAAAATGATAGTGGTTGTACAGGGTCACTAAGAAATATCATTGGTACAATGAATCCAACAGATATGTTAACTAAGGTGGTGAACAAAAAAAATTGGAGCTTTACACAGACCTGTCAATTTGTGTATGTGTGTCATGTATATGTGTCAAACACAAATTTAGCAAACACGAACACGACATGAATTGTAAAACATGTTTTGGGTATAATTACGAGCACGACACGTAATTAATATGTGTGACACATGACACAACACAAATTTGGTAAACCCAAACACGACACGAATTGTAAAATTGGGTATCAAACACGAACACGACACAAATAAACACGTTTTTAACCATGTCACATAAAAACATGGATAAATATGAAATTACACGAATTTAATTCATTTGTTATATGTCTCGTGTGTTTATATTTGTCACGTGTCAACACGAATTTAATTTGTATATAAACACAGTTAATTCCGTGTTTGACAAACGTAAGACACGAAACACGAATTTAAAATTTGTGTCGGCGCGAAACACAAATTTCTAAAACTCATACACAGAAAACTCATGTCGTGTTAATCGTGTATCGATTGTTGGGTCTATTTGCATAGCTTCAACTATTCTAGACGATTAATGAGAAGACGTCGAACTAGAAAGGGCATGTTAGAAGACATTTGGCTTGGTGAACAGCCTCCAAGTAGGAGATTGTTGAGTTATGAAGATTAATGGTTAGCAGAGGAACCTGAGTGGGTGAGTGAGTGAGTGAGATGATTGTTGGAGTCCAAGGGCACAACACCTCGGTAGGATTCCGTGCCCATAATCTTAATTGATGCAAGTTTCATGTAATTGTAAACCGATCTATTACAATTTCAGTATGGTTTTACACCGGTTTCAGTCTTAACCGGTTTATGACTGAAATTAAACAGTGGTGTGCATAATCAGTCCAATCTTTTTTAGAATTGGTTCAAATGATTCAGTTTTGGATTGTTTTGTTAAAATCTCTAAGTTTACATACATACCCGGTTTAAAGAAAACCGAAAGCCCAAAATCAATGGCCTTTAAAGGAGCTGTTTCCTTCTTGTTTCCAAACAGAAAATTCTCTGGTTTAAGATCACGATGCATAACTCCATGACTATGACACATCTGCAATCAATTCAAACAATCCAATCATCAACAAAAAATCAAACAGCAAAACCCAAAAACAAAATCGATCGAATCAAATCCAAACCTGAACAATTTCCACAATCTTCCTCATAATCGAAGCAGCAGCTCGTTCAGTATAACGTCCTCTTGCCACAATCCGATCAAACAATTCACCACCTTCACACAACTCCATGACAATATGAACTGCATCATTATCCTCATAAGTATCTCTCATGGTGACAATGTTCGGATGTTTAGGCAAATGCTTCATGATTTCAACTTCTCTCCTCACATCATCGATATCAACTGTTGTTCTAAGCTTCCTTTTTGATATCGATTTGCAGGCTAATCGTTCTCCAGTTCCCAAATCCGTACACAAATACGTTACCCCAAATTCGCCCCTTCCAAGCTCTCGACCCAGATTGTATCGCTGTGTAATGTCGTGACCTGTGGGATCTTTTAATACGAAGAAAATGGTTTCATTGTTTTGAGATGCAGATGGGTTGTGATAATCGACTGAGAAAGGATTCGGTTTGTGATTTCCCTTCCTCTTCTTCTTCCTCTCCTTTCTACGAGCGGAATTACCAGTAACACAGCAATTTCCCATGATTCAAACTGGTCTAATCTTTCCAATTACTTTCTGAAGAATTCTGATTAAAAAAATAAAACAATCAGTCCATTGATTGAAATCGAAACATATACGAAATGAGAGAGATAATGTGAAGATACCTGTTCGAGAATTTGTGAAAAATAGTAAAATACCATTCGTTTTGGGAGATCAATGGGTGAAAATTAGAGGGTGGTGTTGAAAAGTCAAGAGATTTGAATGAATGGTGATGAAAGAAGGGTTTGTTTTGTTGAATTGTTGGGGGTGTTGTGTTGTGTTGTGTTGTGTTATTCAATCGGCCATGGATGAAGCATGAGATGAGATGATGATATGAATGAGAGAGAAGGAGAGTCAAAAAGCTCTTTAACAGACTTTTCTTTCTCCCTCCAAATTCCCTCTCGTTTTCTCTTGGTTTCTCCTGTCTCTCTCCCTGTCCTCTTGTTATCTATCAAAAAATGTTCCTTTCAAATGATGGTATTTGCCTTTTATACCAAATATGTCAACCAACTATTTATTGGATATTTATTTCAACAAATTAATTTTCAAGAATAAAAAAGTATTTCTTGGTGCAATTAAATTCCAACAAAGTTACTATCTCATAGTATGAATTTGTTTGGTCCAAAGTTTGTTTATTAGCTAAACGAGCCGATATAAAATAATAAAACTTGTTCTAACAAATATGAAATATGGTTCTATTTGTTCATTTATTTGTATGATTGTTTATTTATATTTGGGCATTGTATTACTTTATATATAATATTATACAACGAGGATGAAAATAAAGCTTTTAAGAATGGTTCGAGTTTTCGAACCTTGTAGACATGGTAAACGTATCAAAAGTGGCTATGATCAAAAGATTAAATGTTGAAGATCAAGTTTTAAAGATCTTGATTTGAATGATTACGTTTATTTTAATGTTTATTTATGTTTGTTTATTATATTAATAAATATAAACCAACAGACAAGAACAATGTTGAACTTAAACAAATGAACATGAAAAAGTTTTTCTCAATTAGAATCATATCTCATTTTAAAGTGTTTTTTATTTTATTTTATTTTTTGTAAACTTGTCTAATTTTACAATATTGTCATACTGTGTATCGCATAATCCATTTATATACATGTAATCTTATAAAACAAGCGTAAATAAATTTAGATCAACGTTACGGTGTAAAATGTCTCGTATATGGCATTAACTTGATCGTCTAGCTCAAGTTATAATAACTTCCCGTTTTAAATAATTTTTACATTTATGACCATGATAAAATATATTGAACCACCTGTATGTCACAGTACCTTCGTCAACCGATGGTGGACCCACAATAAAATGTCAGGGATGGAAAACGTAAATTTTAGGGTAATACGTCAGAAAAATTGCACTACACCGAAAAAAATTTCAAAAAAATTCCATTGCACCTAAAAATTTAAGAGGTAACACGGGCTACTCTAGGCTCCTACTAAGTTCTGCTATTGTCGTCAACATGTCTGCTCCATTTTTTACAACCTGGTTTTACATCGTTTATTTTTACTAGTTTCTATTGAAATGGTATTATTGAGTATGAGAGTAAATAAATCATATTGTTAAGCAAGTTAAAGGTTTTTAGACTCAAATCGGTGTTGAAACAATAGATACAACACGTGATAGGAACATGATTACTTTTTTATCAAAGGAATTGGAGGATTTGGGAGTTTGATTCCACCATAAGTTATTCCATATCTTTGGCTAGGAGAATTCTGATAACTTTGCTTTGATTGCGGGGATTATCCAACTAGATAGAATAATTTTGTTCATCTTATGTAGAATGAATATGCAAAGAGAATATGCTTAAACAAAGTGTTCACTGTAGTTAGTAGTTAATTTGAATAAAATAGAGATCGATGTGGACTCTTTACTATATCATATGTATGATACTCAAATTGAGAAAATGATCATTTTAACTGAGACAAGTTATCATTCATTATTTTCTTGTCTCGTAGCAAAATAGAACCAAATTAATCGTTGGTTGAATATTGATATCCATTTTTTGGGGTCATCCGATAGTTACTAACTAAGTTAGAGTTGATTGGTTAGAAGCTGACTGAGTTAAAACTTCTGACCGAAACTTATTTGATTTTACATCTGATAGTGCAAAATGACTATATTACCCTCTGACAACATTTTTTCTGATTGTTTTTAAAAACTTTCCTATAAATATTATATCTTCTAAATAAGATTTCATTTGGGCATTTACTCAAATATTTCATATCCCTGTGAAATCACAAAGAAAAAAAAATCCATCCACCACGGCATGAGGTTATAATTTATTGATATTTCACCAAGAGGTTATAACATACATATTTGTTTAATAAAAGTTCCATTAAAACATTTCATCCAAACATTTCATATCCCTATGAAATCACAAAGAAAGAAAAAAAAAATCCATCCACCAAAGCATGAAGTTATAATTTATTGATATTTCACCAAGAGGTTATAACATACATATTTGTTTAATAAAAATTCCATTAAAACATTTCATCGAACACTAACATGCATGTTTGATCACAGACAATCGACAACTTCAACTATGTTAGATATTCAACGGATTTGCTTGAAATCGATTCAATTCATTTGATTGTTTGCACAACAACAACAACATTGAAATTAACTCAAGCCAACCAATGAGGTCTTTGTCTTAGTAAGAATTGGAACTTACAATCAAGAATTTGAGTATGCTTTAATTGAACTTATGAATCACAAAAAGAGATGTTTACATGATGATTGAGGGTGGTAGGATCATGGTGGTACCAAAAGAGGGAGAGCATATTGGTATATGGACAAACAGACGGGTCGAACTACCCCAGACAACTTCGGTGTGATTGGTGGTTGCAACGCAAACCAATCAATAATTAAGGTTATGGAGGTGATAGCAACGGGTCAGAATCGGGTTGTTGGGACATCCGGACGGAGGCCGTAAAAGGCGTATCGATTAGGAAAGGAAGACAACCTAGAGCAATATGGGAATTGTTGGTTTTGTGCATTGTTGTCTGGATCCTTCAGTTTTGAAGGAGGACGGAATCAACTAAATATTATGGACCAAGTCATATCATTTAGACCGAGTCCAATGATTTTGAAGCAATATCAAACATGCCAAATTATTTTATTTTTTTTTTTTTTTTGACCCAACCACTTTGGACCCAATTACAACCCATATAAAACACACAATTTCTCTACTTCCTAGGATTGGATCTTTTGTATTGATCATGTTGCTCTTGATGCAATTCAAAGAAAGTTCTTGAGTGTGGTTCGTCTCATTACTTTTGGGGGTTTAGAATTTTCAAAACTCGATGCTTTTCTGAATAGTAAATCCAAAGAAGGCAGTTCTTTTTTATAAGATTGTAACACAATCTTTCTTTGTGCTTTTTAGTAGAAGAGCTGAAGTTGAAATTTAATTAGTTCGGTTGGTTTTACAAGCATATTTAAGCGTATTAGTGTTATTTCCTTCTTGTAATATACTTAGTTTTCTAGCATCTTTTGCTAGTAGTATTAATTGCTACATCATAGAATAGGTAAAATTTGATCCAAAAATACAAAGACTTCTTTAATGTTTTGCTCTTTAATGTCTCTTTTTGCTTTCAATTCAGTATTTTGTGTTAATTCGGAAGATGACCCAAACTCAATTTTAAAAAAAATGCGGAAGTATAACCATCAGCGAGTCTACAATCAAGTGTTTACCAACATTGTCCTTATGACCCAAAAAGAAATATAATTTAATGTCACATAAACATATACAATGCAGGGTATACTTATAGCATTATACAAATCGACAACTTCAAAAAAAAAAAAAAAAAAAAGGTCAAAAACGGTATGACACTATGATCTAATAATTCTCTTCCATTCAAGAATCGTCAACCAGAAAACAACAATACTTTTTAACAGAACAAGTAACCTTGATATAGAAAAATGAACCTGGTTTTCCTCTTTTACCCTTCATACACCCCTTTCCTGAAATAAAAAAAGTCAAAAATAAGATACATTATTCAAAACAATCAAAGTCAACTCAAGACAAATTGAACAAAGTCAAACAAACACTTACCACTTTCACATCATTGGCTAACCCCAAATCAGAAAGCGAATTCACTGATACACAATTTTCATGCACAATTACACCCCGGGTCCCACCATTGCCGATATTTAAATAAGCAGCTCTTTTAAACATCCATTTATTCCTTTCTTGATTATAAAAATCATCAAAAATTTCTCCACACAAAACACACACAACTTGAGTTTCATCTGCAGTAACCATCTGTTCACCATCAATCAAGAATGTTTCTTGTGTAGTTGACCCCGGGTCAAAGTCAAAGTCAAAGTCAGACTCCCCGTTGACCCAATTTTCAGCTTTCAAAAACCATCTCCTTGATGATTTTGTATTTAGAGTGTTGGATTCAGAATTTTTTAACACATGCCACTCCATATGATTATCGAATTGTTCTTCAACTTTGAATCTTAACCCACAAATCCCACATTGATGTGGAAGATCATCAATTAGCTCACTAATCACACAAGGATTAAACTCCCTAATCACATCAGGCTTAAACTCTAATCCTACAACACCCTTGTTATTAATCACAACACTCTTTGAGGAAACTTTTGGAGGAAGTTTTGGAGTTTGAGTAACAATGACATCATCACTTTTGTTATTATTATTCTTGTTATTAATATTGTTGTTGTTGTCTTCTGATGCAGAGATTAAACCCTTTGAGAGCAATGTACTCAAAAGACTTGAGACATTTGATTCAGGATTTGGAAGAGTTGTACTCTGTGTTGATGGAGTAGTACCAAGAAGAGATGATGAAAGTGATGTGCTTTCATGGGAGGATGGGATTTTGAGAGATGATGACATGGATTGAGTAGTAGTTTTTTTGCCAAAAATGCTGCTAACAGCAGCTAATAAACTACTTGTGGAGGATAATCCTGGTATATCTGCAACTACAGGTTTTTGCTGACGTGGCACTGGTAAGGGTTTAGGGGGTTGAGGTTGAAGTTTAACAGAAGGTTCTGATATGGGTTCTTGATGAGGTGGCGGAAATGGAGCACGTTTTATCGGGTGTAAATTTTGAAGTTTTGATTTTTGAGAATCTTGACTTATTTGCCCCTGAGATCGAGCTGCTTTAAGAGATTGCAAAGAGATTCTGGATAAAGAATCAAGACTTGTTGACACTGAAACCCCACTTGAAGAGGAAGGGAAAACTTTAGAACCATGTAATAAGTTTCTAGAAGCACCTACAAAGGAATTTTCGTCTGTCGAAAATGACCCTTTTGCCCTTAGTGAAGTAGAAGGTAAAGGTATCCGCTGTTCTGCAGATGGTAGATCAGGTGAAGATTCTTTCTCGTGCATCCGTTGTGATTTCTGAAGACGATTATCAAAACCCTAGAAAGAAAAAAAAAATATATGTTTCAATGTATTTAAGAAAGAAAAAGAATAAGGGTAATTCCGTCTTTTTGACTTACCGGTCTGTCGGGATCAAAATACAATCTAGGATCTCTCTTTGAACTATTGGAAGAGGTAAGAATAGGATTCACTGTTCTTGAGCTCACATCATCCCACAAATACTCTTCTTCCTCTGAATTCTTCCAACTTCTACTCACTTCACCACTTCCTTTTATAAGATTGTTGATAGGTTGTAATTTCACATCAGGAATTGAAGATTTATGGAGTGAATAATTCGATGATAATGTATGTCCATTTCTTTCAAGCCTGGATATTGTATCTGTACTATTGCTCACAGATCCATACCATGTCTTTTCAAGTCCTTGTTCTCCTACTCTTCCATTGGATTTTCCAAAACTACCCTCGGAAGGGCTTGATATATCAGAACCAAATTCATAATTCTCGTGTGTAAGATCACTCTCTGGATCTCTTTGTGCCTGCTGACATGGCAAAGCATAGATATAGAAGATTTTTTAACATTTTTGTCAAGTTAACATATTTATAAAGAGTTTAAATGGTTACTGATAGTATCATACATGCATCTTAAGGCGAGGATCAGCACGAGTTGTGTGTATGTCACTGGCTGCAACTTTTGGCTTCATGAAAGTTGAAATTCAATGAGTGATGATGACAAAAATGATTTAGATGAGGTTAAAAATGTAAACTTTAATGTTTCTTTACCCTGTTTGATTGTTGGAGTTTTTGTCTTGCCTCCAAATATTTGGGATTTACATGAATACTGCGAGCAGGGCGTTGTGGTTGTGAGTCAGGTCTAGATGTGGTCAGCCCTGAAGAGGAACCATTCCCATTCCCATTCCCATTCCCAACTGTTGAAAAACCAAGTTCTTTTTCTATTGATTGAAGTGATTGAGGTGGAAATACTCCTTTCCATGTCCCAAAAAGATGTCGCATTCCAGAATGTAATGCAGAATCAACCTGTCTATATGCCTTGCAAAATACCTAAAAGGTTGAAGAAGTAAAGAAAGTGAATTGATTTATCAGAGGAGCAGAGTTAAGAGCACATTGGAACTCAAGAATGAAGATCTAACCTCAGGGAGTTTGGTGGAAAAGTGTCGGATGTAATCTCGCCCAATGTTCTTCACGATACTGTCTAGAAGATATAGCGACGGCAACTTTTGATCACTCGGAACCTAAAAAGTAAAAATCGTTTTTGTTTCAGTAACAATGGTTATAACTTATAACTGATAACTTATAATTATAACCAGCTAGTTCTACACAAACATAGTAACAGGAATCATCACCTCGATAATGTTATTGCAGATGGTAGCAGCAATAGCTTTAGCAGCCTGGGCGTTTTCTCCGGCGATGATAGTCAAGTTCGTTATGATTGGTTTCGAATTGAAAGTCAGTTCCGCTAGAGCTGTCCTATACTGACTCACAAGCTCTTGATGTTGTTGCTGTTTTATCTGTGATAGCGATTGGGGCTGATACGACTCGGAGTCTCCGTCTCTCTCCACCGCCGGCCGGAACCCCACTGACGGCCGTTGAACTATAGGCCTATTATTACCATTGACATTATTATTACTGCGAAGAATCGTTGGCTCTTCCGTTACCAATCGAGGTTTCTTCAGTGTAGCAGGGTTTCGTGATGATCTATCGAATGATCTGCCGCGAGAAGTGTTGTCCATCTCCATTTTTCACACCCCGCCAAATCAATTTTACAAAAATCAAAATTAATCTAATCTAGAATTAGCATGTTGAAGAGGAAGTTTAACTTCCTGTAGAAATTTCATTCGATTCGTTACAACATACAACAAACATTAAAAAGGTAAGCAAATCGAAAACCCTAACCCTAGCTAGAGGCAATTACAAATGCGTAAATCGAGAAAAGGAAAAAGGAAAACAAAATCAAAAACGCGACACGAAGAACCGATTGCAAGGTGTTGGAATTTATATGTTCTGCGAGAAAGTGATGGATTTTGTTGGAGATTTAGATGAAGAGATTCGAAAGGCGTCACGTATTCAGATCAAGAGCTGTCGTTAGCACTCGCTCTATTTGTTCGATGTTCAGAATTTCACTGGAGTCTCTCTTTCATGTGCGTGCGGGTGTGTGGTGTGTGTAGAGTGTAGACCGTTGGTAAATGGTCAAAAACGAAAAGCCTGAATTGGGTGGGATTAAAGTCCATTTAAGCCTGATATCAGTGGGCTTAAAGTACATTAATAATGGGCCTTACTCTTTTAATCCTATAAAATCTGATCCATTTCATTCCTTGTTCAATGAGCATTTTCACATAGATTTATTTAAATAAATAAAATAAAAAAAAATTAAAAAACTCTAAATTATGTAAAAATAGAGTTTTTTAAAATGATTTTAAGAGTGTTTCATCAAAACAAGTATGCAAAAGTAATAAAGATAAGACTATTAGGTATCAGTAATTTGTTATAACATTAAAAGAGTATCATCTCACATATGATATTATGATAATGGTCACCGTGTTATTATATTAAATGATTTTAATGTAATAATTTATTTTTATTTTTATTTTTGAATTTAATTTTTTATAATTATAAAATAAATATAACTTTATTTAAATAAAACATAATATTTAAATTACACATAACATTTAAATTTAAAAAATAAATTAACATTACTAGACAAGAAAAAATATACAATTTTTCCTAAATAAACTATTCTTCACCATCGTGACCATCGTAGATATAATTCGTCAAGTCTTCTATATAAATATTCATATGTACATTGTTGAAATTTCACGTGTCTAGATTGTAAGCATATAATCTACAATATTTTGTCTTTTACCTGCAACCGTCATCTTATATATTATGATACATGCATACATAATATCTCATAGAGTTTCCATCTCATATGTCGTAGCTCATTGGTGTAATATATGTATATCATATTGATGAACACATCATCATCTTCATCGTAGAAAGGGTCAAACGGATCCATGTTTTTTTTAGTACATATTGAAATTGTATTAAATATAGAGAAAAAAAAAAGAATTATGTGAATAAAAGTGAGATAGATGGTATGGTAAAAATAATAATAATAATTTATTTCAAAATTCGACTGTTAATAGTCAAAGGAAGAGGTGATTGGTTGATATGAGGCGTTGCACATCGTTGTCGTTATGGTGCCGTTTTGGATAGTCCATGTTGATATTAACGTCGTTGTTTAGACACTCTAAAAATATGTGCCTTGTGTATTGAGACATTTTAGGGCCAATTCCATGACCTAATAAGGCATTTTTCTACAGCTTAAAACAACTTATTTTTCAATCCACTTGCTAATTTCGTAGATGTCATCGGGATAGGGAACAGTGGATCTTTTGGACATTTTTAACTATTTTTTACTATTTTTTAAAAAGTAGTAATAAGATTAATCTATTTTGTCTTTTTCTCTAAACAATAATACAAAATTTTATTCATACAAAACTCATTAATAGACACCATTAAGATAATGTGATTCAAATATATATTTATATTGAATCATAATGATTCAAATTTTATCTCGTAACTTGCATTAATAGATTATCACCACTACAAAATTTCAACTTCGAACATTCTAATAATAAATATCTAGTTTGTAATACAATTCAAAATATCAACAATGTTTTATAATAAAACAACTATTGTTCATACTATTCAATTTTCAACATATTACAACTAATGTATGGAAATAAAATTTCAATATTTATTAAATCATATAAGAGCTTATGAACTAAACACGCATGTAATATTTTGAGTAAAATATAATCTTATAATATTTTAATCATGTAGTTTTATTCTTTTGCAACATGTGTATATTCATCTAGTATTCAAATAAAGATTAGTTATTAAAAGCTTTACATAACTTAGATTAACCGAATATTCATATCAATGTATAATGTATTATTTGTTTTTTTTTTTTTTGTCTTTTTAGGTCTAATTTGAAATCAAATTCAACGTTTCTATAACAAAAAGAACCTAATGTTTATGGCTTTCTCTATATCTTTCTTGTTAAAGATTTGCATCAATGGCTAATTCTTCATGATCTTTTTAGGTGTTATTTATGTGTACAAATAGTCTTCTAAAAGTTAAATGAGTAGCAAATTTGACTTTTTGTAAGTCATACAAACAAGTGAAGTGTTTTTTTATAACTAAATCACTCTACAAGTTCTTGTAAAACATCAACTTTATGTAATTGAATAGTTTAGATGTTTGGGTAAATATACAAGATGTTCTTTCTTGCTATATATAAATAAATAAAAAGATCGGATTTTTTTAAAGGATGGCATACAATAACTTTAAGCAAACAAGGTGTAAGTGAATTGGTATGCTTCTCCACTTCCGATTAACATACTGATGTCTATATGATGTTTATAATCAGACAACATAAGAAGTTATTAAAATTAGCATCGATGTATCGATGTTAGAAAATAATACCTGATAATATCTAATTTGTTTTTCATATCATTTATCATTTAATTGCATTCAACAGACAAACAAACAGTTTTTTGGTTATCATTATAACTAGAACTCAAAATATTGTCATATTAAATATAATTAGAAGATAATTAAATTGACAAAAAAATCTAATTACTATTTATAATTAGATAAAATTGATCGCAAAATTTTAGCATAAGCTTCTTAATAATATAAACCTAGTAAACATTTAACTATTACTTACTGTGATTTATTAAGAAAAAAACAATGCTAAACTAGAAAATATATATATATATATATATATATATATATATATATATATATATATATATATATATATATATATATATATATATTTATTATTCCATTGCAGAGAATCCTGTATTAAAAACGAAAATATATTTTAAAAATAACGAATAAATAAATAAGGACACCGACCTAAGCCCCATAGGCGGGCCCATCCAAGAGTCCACTAGATTTCTCTCGACTCCCAAAATCCAATTGTCTAATTTAAAGCCTTAAATGCCATGTAACAAAACGACGACGCATTAGAAATTGTCGTCAACAGTTAGAAAAAAAAATCCACCTGCAACAAAAATATCTGCCGACCCTTCCTCTCCGAAACTTCTCCGGACGAACATGAACAGTATCATTCCTCCACCGCCTTTCTCCAGATATTTATCAAACACCTTGTCTGCATTACATGCCTATATATACATGGCTCAATTCTACTATCACTCCTCAGTCCTCACACACCAGTTTCATCGTCATCTTCGTCATCTCAATCGATGGATCATCGTCCCTATAAACGCTCGCTTTCATCTTCTTCGTATCGCCCACATGGGTCTCATCCGTTACGATTCGGTTCGTCTTATTTTTCATTAATTCTCTCATGCTCTGGTTAAAAGTTTATATCTGATTGTTTTTTTTAATGGAAATCGATAACAAAAGTTTTCTATCAAAGGCTTTTGGTGAGTAGTAATGTTCTTTATTTTCATAAAGCTACTTGCTTTTCTCACAATTTTCAATTTCTCACTAGCATTGTCTTACCTCTACTACTAGCTAATGCTTCAATTTGACCAATTATGCTTTATTTTACCTCTACTATTAGCTAAGGGTTACATAAACTGTAAACCGATGATGATTCTACTTCGCATAAATTGGTATTAAAAACCGTAATTTCTTTAAGTGATTGGTCTTTTTTCTTATGGCGCTACCTTGTTCTTCATTTAATTCTGAAAAGTTCTCAATGAAGCTACACTGTTTTCTTGTATTTTTATGTACAGAGTTCGAATAGGTCTATCTCATATTTTGATTTTTTCTGATCGATATATCGCTGTCTAATCACTTTTTTTTTACAATTGACCACAGAAAATGCTGTCGTGGATATTGATGAAGGGGATGTTCATCATCTCCCCCAACCTCTCGATTGTTTAATCGGGACACCAATTCCGCCATTTTTGTCAAAGACCTATGATTTGGTGGATGACCCGAGATTAAACCAGATCATCTCATGGAGCGATAATGGTGCAAGCTTCATTGTGTGGGACCCAGTGGAGTTCGCAAGGGTAATCTTGCCAAGAAATTTCAAGCACAACAATCTTTCAAGCTTTGTGAGACAACTTAACACATATGTGGGTATATATTTGCTTTAAACACTAAACCCTTGATTATAGGGTTCACTATGTTAGTCCGTATGTACATTCTTAACTTTTTCTACTTCATTTCTTTCACCTTTTTTTTCCCTTCAGATTTTCATGTTTTTCTTTTGTTTTATACATCTCTAGCATAGTTCTTTTTTGTATATCATCTTTTGTCTTTTCCCCGTGTAAATTTCTCAATGTAATCTGATACTTGACATAAATAATGAAGATGTTTTGGTTCTTGATATCGATTCTCACTTATAGTTTTTTTATGCTTATATCAAGTTAAATTATTCATGTTATATTAATATTATTCCTCCATTTTGCATTTGTTTGAACATATGTATATATATCAAGAACTCTTCTTTCTTTCTTCAATCTTCATTCCATTAGTGAGATGCACTGTTTATATTGTGAATATTCATGCAAGAAGGATTATATTGTTGCAGATAGATTTTCAGTGTCTGGATTCTGGTAAAACGTTAAAAAAACGCTAATTTTTGCTATTTTGTAACAGTTATTGTTCTATTATGCCAATAATCTTTATCTTGTTAATGCTTTTGTTTAATCTTTTGCATCTTCACTACTAAATTTTTTGTGAATAATTAATTGAGTTCAGGGTTTTCGCAAGATTGATACAGACAGGTGGGAATTCGCGTGTGAAAGCTTCTTAAAAGGAAAAAGGCATCTCTTGAAGAACATCAAGAGGCGCAAATCACAACAGACTGAAGAATGGAATTCCAATTCCAGTTCCATTGAAAACGAGGTGGAAAGATTACAGAAAGAGAAGATGGAAATGATGCAAGAGGTAATGAAGCTACAACAACAGCAACGTGGGACTCATGAGTATATGGAATCAGTGAATGAAATGCTTCAAGCTGCTGAAAACAGACAAAAGCTTATGATTTCATCTTTGGCTAAAGCTTTCAAGATTCCAACACTGTTAAGGAATCACATTTCTTCTCAAAGAAGGGTTCGTAAGTTTGTGAAGCATCAATCCCATGATCAGGATCTTGGATTTGATCCAATTCCGGTTGATGACAATGTTCGGAATCCCGATTCCGATTCC